ACATTTAGACGGATTCAGTTTAAGTTCGTTTGAAGAGGACCACTGACAAATTTCCGACAGAAAGTTATTTAATTTGGAACAATCTGACTGAGAGTTGGTTGACTGGCATAGAAACAGAGAGGTCATCGGCATACTTAACAAAAGTGGCTACATCAGAATGAGGCAAGTCATGTAAGAAAAACGAAAACAGAAAGGGAGAAAGAACAGCACCTTGAGGAACACCAGCTAAAGTAAGTGAGTTAGTTGAGGACTTTCCATTGTAGACGGTGTACTGCTTTCTATCAGTAAAATAGGAATGCAACCACTTATTTGTCCAGCTCTCAGCCTGTGTTGCAGCAAGCTTACTTAGCAAGAGAGACCTGGGAACAGAGTCAAATGCAGATGTGTAATCAAGGAAGGCACACCGAACGTATTTAGCTCCTTTATCTAATCTAGAGACTATATTATGGTGTAGGACAACAGCGGTATCTAAGGTACACCTACTATGTTTATAAGCAAACTGGTTGGGGTCGTTGAAAGACTTTAAAGAGGGTTCAAGATTAAGTAAAATAAGTCTTTCCATATCTTTCAAAAAGGTGAGGTAATAGCAATGGGTATAAACTTAACATTAGGTCCACTTGTTGATTTAGGCACTGGATGATCTTGATAATAAGAAGATCTGTCTATAGAAAGTCCACATGGACGGGATAATAGCTAAATTATTATAGTTCCAGTTCACTAAATTATAAAAAGACGTCGGTTAAATGCTTGTTCAGATGCATTCACCGTATATGTGTAAAGTCGATACAATTGAAGAAGAAACGCCGCGCCTCAGTGAAATATTGTTAGATAACAATTACCCGCAGAGACTTATTAATTGTTACAGAAGCGTCAAACAAAGAGCGTTACCGATCCAATTAGCTCCCAAAAACGATGTTTATATACGCTTGCAGTTCAGGGATGATCAACAAAGTCTGGTCACTAAACAAAGACTAAGGGTGGCAATTAATAGAACTTACAATGTTTCTAAACTCATCTGCATAGAGAAAACGAGATCTATCCGAATGATAGTGTCACATCCCACTGTGTTAATCAATTTACATTTATGTGCGGAGACACGTACACAGGGAGGACCCATCGGTCTCTGCAGATGAGGGCTACAGAACACATTCCAAAGTGGCTGCAATAACATATAAAATCACCGGATACAACTGATTCCAGAAATAAATGTCCAACATCATCCATAGCGAAGCATGTCATAGAGACTTGTTGATTTTAATAATGTCTTTAGATCCATAGATAAAACAACGTTAGGTTACAAACTTAAATTTGTTAAAGCCCTGGCCACAAAAAAAGCTGAAACCTGTCTTATGTGTCCAAAAGTTATTTGTTATTACTTTTGAACCTGCCTTGGTAATGCAGAATAGAACGAAGGTTCAATTTACTCCATAGTATTTTCAACCTCTTCCTTCTTTTTCTTACTCTACACCATTGCGTCACCTGCCTACTAACCATTTATGGCCTTGATCTTCACACAATCTGACCTCCATTGTAATAATTCATGCTTTCTTGCCTTCTACATAACTGTGTATGACACGTACACGTGTGTGCTCAGAATGTCCGAAATGTGTTGCGTAAAGACACCACACCACATGCTTCAGATAAACAACATCCTCTTATTGTTTTGTCAAAATTCATTAAGGGAACTAATTACTTCAAATTTTACAAAATCGACATGTGCACTGTACAGCAGTCACTTCACTTTATCCTCCCTTATGGCTGTGATCGAGATATGGTCATTGAAAGTGGAAAACATGAAGGACCTGGCTGGCTAGCTGTCTTTGATCCTAAGTGTCTGAGTTCTGTCTCATGTGTTAGATGGTAAGTAAAATAATAGGGTGATTATTATTGAAGTTAGGCTTTGGTCGAGTGATCGGTAAGGAGGGAATATCTATCAATGAGGTTATCAAATAGGTGCATCGACTGAGATGTGGTTCCGCTTTCATCCCTAGCCGTCAATCATCTTCTTCGACGGTCAATGTTGGCTCACATAGGATTGGTGAGATTGGAAAAGAGCTAGTGGTGGCCAAACCAAAACATGGCTTCATAAATTCATGAAATTCATAACAGTCAGTTTAAGCCAGCCAGCCACGTAAGGAGGTGTACACTACTAGGTTGGTTTGGGTCCTTGGGATGGTAAGAACCAATGAAGGCTGGAGACAATGGGTGATATGGCTCAAAACTCTCGTTGTGAATGGCGTAAATGCATTGACACTTTGTGATGATTTGTCACATCCAACAAAACTCTGTTGTTCTTCCATATTACTATTCTTTCTCCTTTGCATTACTGCTTATTATCGTCCTCTAGGGAGCATTGTCTCAACAACAGGAGCAACGGACGAGGATGTCAAATAGGGAGAGAATCAAGAAGACAGGCCAGAAACATATTCATCAACCTGAAACCAATCTGGAAATCTTCGTCACTCAGCCAGCATCAACAACAAAATTCGGTAGGATTTTCAATACAAACGTCAAGTCAGTCACTTCTTCTATACGGATCAGAAACTTGGCGGGTCACAAAGAATATTTCCAACAGGCTGTTACAGACCTTCATCAACAACTGTCTTCGCTCTATGCTGTAGATCAGATGGCCGGGCCGGGAAGAATTACCAACAAGAAACTATGGGAACAAACAAACAAACAAAACAAGAAACAATCGTCAACCAACAAATATGCAGGAGAAAGTGGATGGAGATGGATTGGACACTCGCCCGCTGAGGAGGCCGGCTGGTGACACCGCGCGTCAGGCCATTGCTCGAGTGGAACCGGAAAGGGAAGAGGCGAGTGGGACGTCCAAGGGTGACATGGAGGAGATTGTTTGAGGAGGAGGAGGAGTTGAAACAGTATGGACTAACATGGATGCAGGTGAATAGTACAGCAAAAGGAAGACAGAAGTGGCAAGTGGAGACGTGTAGTTGAAGCCCTATGTTCCACTAGGAACCCAAGGGAACAATAATAATAATAATAATCGTCCTCCAGAGTGATGTGGCAAGTCGAACCGCCGCACTTTTGTGCAAAGTCCTATGTTGAAACAAGTCAGTCGGTAATGTGAAAACAAATCACTACTGTGTTTTATTTAACCACAGACTCTGTATCGTTGGTATTAACTGTGGGGATTAAAAAAAATCTTTAGACAAATTAAACCTTATAAACTGCAGTAACATACAGCAGCAGTGACGTGTTTCTTGAAGATAGCTAGCATCTTCAGCGATTTCTATTTTGGAAATTTTACGTCATAAAAACACCTAGTCCAAAGAAAATGATACATCTTTCTTTACCTTAAATCTAAAGATATTTACGTTTAAACATGAAAGAACAGAAATCCTAAATAAAAATCATCAGATAACGCTGCATAGTGCTGACATGCACACTGGACGGGTTTTTGTCTAATTGTCTCAAGTAAAAGACAAGCTGCCCACCTGTACCACTATTATGTGCAATTACAAATTTAGCTGCTCTTGTGGAGGAAGTTATGTAGGATGAACAACTAGACACCTCAACATGGTTCGATAAAAAGGTCAAGTAAAACTTATAAGAAATCCTATTTTGTCTCACCAAATAGACAGAAGAAGTGACTTTCAAGTTAGTGTCGAATTCAATCGAACCTTCAACACAGAATTAGAATCCGCTTTTTACGGGAATTCGAGAGAACAATCCTAGTCTTTGCATACAGAAGTTTGATCAGCCTTTGTCTCTCACTTTGCCTTGATATATTCTAATTAAAAACCCTCCCACCCTTCCTTATTTTCCATTCTCTTCGCGTTTTAATGACTGTCTGTCTGTCTGGTTTCGACATAGAATTTTGCACCGATGTGCGGCAGTTTAAGTCGCCACACTCCATGTAGCACACAAAGCAAGAGAAGAAAGTAGAAGAAATGCATAATAGAGACAGTAAGCAGAGGTGTGAGACAAAGGAATAGTAATGATATTTATGTAAACCCTGAGTATTAAATAACTTTTAAGATTTGACCTAATTTATTTATTGAATTGTCGACATATACACATATTACTACCGTCGTTATTCTTATAGCCCCTTGCGTCGGTGGCACAGTGGTTAGGACTCTCGCCCACCATGCACATGGTCCGAGGTTCAAGCCCACGCCGACGCACACCTGATATCTATGGTCGGCCTGAGAAATTTGGGCTACCGATATCCATGCTGAAAATTCCATACTTGTACCAAAAATACAGTGTGGAATCAAGCTGTAATCAAAAATAAATAAATAAATAAATAAACCTTATTATCATCGTTATTACTGACGTTTAAACACTTAACACATTATTATAATTCGACCCACAAAATCACCGTTACTGGTTAAATTTTTTTAATAAATAAAATAAAGCGATGCAAATTAAAGTCTGAAGAGGATCTAATTGAAAACTGCAATACTGTTCGCTTATACGTCTTGTTCTAATATTACCAATGAGAATATGTACATAATTTTCTTAGTAGTACAGTCATTATTCGCGATTACCATGTCACAGCAAGGTAATCGATAATTAAATGGTGACAGGTTTTCAATAAAGATGGAACAGAGAGAGAAAACAAGGCAGATTGTAAAGAATAAAGAGAGAACAACAACGGTTTGTGCAGAATAACATGGTACCATCATTTATTTCGTTGGCTTCTCATCATCTGCTTACAGCCTAAATAAATTTTGAGGCTTAATTACACAAACGTTTTAACATACTTGCAAATTTTACATGTTGTCAGTTGACAGAAAGTTCCACAATTAGTAAACTTTCTGTCAACTGACAACATGTAAAATTTGCAAGTATGTTAAAACGTTTGTGTAATTAAGCCTCAAAATTTATTTAGGCTGTAAGCAGATGATGAGAAGCCAACGAAATAAATGATGGTACCATGTTATTCTGCACAAACCGTTGTTGTTCTCGCTTTATTCAAATTCATCAAGGGGAATAAATGCATGAAGATTGTAAAGAAATAGTATTCATCTTACCTTTCCAGTTGGATCATATGGTGCTTGATGTTCATCTTCTGGTAGGGTAGAATACTCGGAACGCGGCCATTCTTCAGGTTTATGAAGAAATGTATGCCTTAATGCATTGTCTGGATCATATTCAAAGCCTACACCAGCAGTTGGATTCCATTTAGCATGTTCTTTACCAAAGCCTTTCTTAGCAATCGCCCTGAGTTTAAGCCGTTGACCTTTACGCATTTTAACAATGAGTATAGATTCCTAAAATAAAGAAATATCAACACAGATGAATCTATTAGCGTTTAACATATAAATCTTTAAGTTATATGCTATGGTTACTCTCTGTCCAGAACAAGCTGGATTCAGAAAAGGCAAATCATATGCTGATCAGATTGCAACTTTATTATTATCATTTTATCCTTTAATTCCTAGAAGAACATAGGGCTCCAGCTGTGCGTCTCCATTGCGTTCGGTTTTCTGCCAACGTCTTCACCCCACTCCAAGTCTGCCCACACGCTTTCATCTCCTCTTCACATGACCTCCTCCAAGTCACCCCACATTGTCACTGACGACCAACTCGCCGCCTCCCTTTCGGGTTCCACTCGAGTAATGGCTTGTCTAGTGATGTCATTTCATGGTTTCCTCAGAATATGGCCAGCCAACCCACCTCAATTTCTCCCTGCCTATTTGTTTCACAACCGGTTCCTGCTGTGTTGGTTCTCTCATTGCCAGAGATCCCTGTTGCTGATGTTTTCTGGCCGGCCATCTGATCTTGAGTATTGAACGAAGACAACAGTTAATGAAGGCCTGTAGTTTGTTTGAGATGCTTTTTATGACGCGCCAAGTCTCTGATCCGTATAGTAGCACTGACTGACTTCACATTGGACCCAAATTGCAACTTTAGACATTACTATCGAACAAATATCAACAATGTCCCGATCAAAGATTTTAAGCTTCATGGATTTTGTGATGAAATATTCTGCGTAGCCATTTTCAAGGAGGATTCTTTTCAAAGTGTTTAGTTTCTCCTCTATAGTTCTGTTTCGTTCACTGAGCCACAGAATCCGCCGCCTTGACACTATGGAAGAGGAGCCGAACACTCTGAAAACAATCGTCCTCGGAAATGGCTACCCAGAAAGTTTCATCACAAAATCTATGATATCTAAACCACTAAAACCACTCACACTTTCTGCTGTCGAATAACTTCTCTACTTGAATCTACAATTCAGTGGAGGCTTATCACCAGAAATACTGAGAAACCGCCTGTCTCGCTGACTGAAGAAAACTTCCGCGGTTGAACTTCGACTACCTTTATCTACAAAACCAATGATTCGCACGAACCTGAAGGAAAACCTACCACTCCTTGTCTCATCAATGCGTATCCATCAATTCGCCTGCTCGGGTGGAGCTAGATACATCGGCCGTGCCCAACATTTGCTATCCAAACGAGGAAACAGATCCCTCCACCCTCATCTTAATCGTCGAACACCTGGTTGAATCTGGACAACAATGTAACCCACAAACCAAATCCAAAGTTATCTACAGAATAAGTGGGAATCCCCTAAAAGAGTACAAATCAAACTTCTTCAAACTGCAGAATCAACCTACATTCACATGTTAAATCCTGAACTCTGCATACAAAAGTAGTTTGTTCAGTTATTAAATCTACAATGGACGTGATCCGTCTTAACACTGGATACGTAATTTTTTATTTTTCGTTTCTTAATTGTGTTATTTCTCCCCCCCTTTCATCCCCTATTAAATTTCATCTCCTTATTACCACTGTTGTTATCTTGACTGTCGTACAATTTTAGCTGAATTCTACTCAACCGCATCAGCTATATGACGTTAGTCAACTTATTTTAGTTTCTACCTGATTAACGCTTCCTACATCACGTAATTTGTAATGTAAAATTCACAATTCTAATGACATATCTTTGGAAATGTTTTTGTTACCAAGAGAATTTACTATATACACATGGGATCGTATATTTTGAGAATGTCTATCTGTCTGGATTCAACATAGAACTTCGCACCGAAGTGCACCAGTTCGAGTTGTCACGTTCCAAATAGCACACAGATGTAGACAAGAAGATGAGCGAAGAGAATCAATAAAATTTGACAAGTATAAGAGTGAAACAGAATGGGTAATGGTAGAAAGGAATATGAAAGATTACAGAGACTGAATACATCTTCGCCATTGATAACGATTTTGGACCATGGCCACCTATTGTCTCCAGCCATTGATCCTTAGTGCCCCGAAGACCCCAATCGGGAAGTGTGCATCTCCCAACCTACCTGAAGACTCAGTTTAACTGTCAAGGGTTTCATGGATTGATGCCGTCATGTTTTTGTTTGGCCACCACCACCACTTACTCTTTTCTAACCTGCACCTTAATCAATCAGCTAGTAATGCCCGTCGGGGGAGGCGATGGTTAGGCATGCGCACCACGTCACCAAGCCATCTCTATGCCATCTATGTAACTTTATAGCCTCGTCGATTGATTTTCCCTCTTTGCCCAACACTCTACGCCTAACGTCAACATTACTTACCTTATCATACCATCACCTAACGTGAGAAAGAGATCGCAGGCATCTATGATCGAAAACAGACAACATTTTCATGTCTTCAACTCGTATTGGCCATGTTTTAGAGCCATAGACAAGGACGGAGCGAACTGCAGCTGAGCAGTACAAACGTCCCTTGGTTGATAGCCAGCCGGATGTCACGCCGACGCCAGAGATGGTGTAAGTCAGCGAAAGCAGCTTGAACTTTTTGGATCCATGCTGAGATTTCATCGCCAATCAGTCCGTTGGTGCTATGATACAACTTCCCAAATAGGTGAATTGGTCAACATGTTCTATCACTTCACTCCCTATCACTAAGCTAGGAGTTGACGTAGTCCAGTCCTGTAGCAGCATTTTACATTTTACAGGGACGAATCGCATGCCAAACATACGAAGATTGCTGCTCAGCTCAAGGTGTTCAGAAGACTCTGCATTTTGTCATCATCCTCCCCTAACAGGACTATGTCATCTGCATATTCTAAGTCCATAGGACTATTCCCTGGTAACAACTAGATTCTTAAGTCGGTACAATTCTAATGACACATCTTTGGAAGTATTGCTTTTGTTACCAAGAAAATTTACTATATACACAGGCGATCGTATATTTTTAGAATGATATCTCCGGAAAAAGTGTAAGTCTTCGCTGAACTTATTTTCTCTCACATGACTCAATGAGGACTTAAGCTGCTATACATATTAATTTACCAAATTATACAATACCCTTATTTCCATTGGCTAAGAAAAAAAATTAATGCATAAAGGAAATTTCAACGCCAATTACAAAAAAACACACTAACCTGTCCTGCATATGATGGATCGTCAATATCTTTTGACGGTACAGGTTGTACATCACGATTACTACTGATTAAATCTGCTCCTGTAACATGCCTTGGTACATCTGTCGTGCAGCATACATCCAATGTCAGTTCAACAGAACACTGTTCACAAAATTCACGACAAGGACATTCTCGAAAATATGTCATTTTGTCAACTACATTATCAGATGTTAAAGGAATTAATCCAACACGTTGGGCGATGAATTCATCATTTAGCATTGTGTTATTCTCCTCAATTTGTACCCAATCTATGGCCAGGGTGGGTACCTCTGCGATACAAACACGACGAATAGCATTGGCTACACTTAGATCCGTTTCCTCAAGAATAAATTTCAAATTCTCATTATTATAACTTGTTAAAGTAACGATAGGTTGATTAGCATAAGGCATTGTCAGTTAGCACTAAAATTAAATTTAAAATGGTTTGTTGCTCATTAGAAAGAGGTAAAATACAAAAGTATAAGCTGGAACAGAATAAAACACACCATCTATTGTAAAGGTCGCATTATCAATAGTTGTTGTTGAAATAGATTTCTAGAGAATTTCTACTCTTTTCAAGTACCTGGGTGAACTCCAAATGTCTGATTCAAGCAAACAGTTACGCCTCTCAAATTGGTCCCAGGAATGTGATGTCTGTTAGTAATAATTTTCAACACGAAAACCGATGATTTGTATTTCACGAGGATTTGAAGAGGCATTAATCGCAGCATAATGACAGTATTTCTACCGTCAACTATCGCAAAAATGTTTGGGACTGACAATCACGAAGACTCATAGCCTTGATTCATGTAACTGACAAACAAACATCTTGTTGTATAAGCTCATACACAAAGCACGAAATAAATAAGATTAAAACGCACTAACTACCCTATTCGACGGAGACGCAGCAACTTTTTGAGTGTTTTATCTTACTCAACTGACACCACACATTGAGCCTGGACAGATACAAAAGGATCTTGTGTGGCACCTGCTACATTACGTCATCTCTGACACATATGAGACCCAAATGAGGGCGACCGAAAGCTGCTACCTTGACGTGGTGGTCGGGCTTGAACACCGCAATGACCTAATCAAGCTATACTGGCTGAGACTTATGTCTCTTGAGGTTCTACCATGCCAGGCAGGTTGTTTGGATAGCGGTTAAACAAAAAGCAGCTACCTCATCCAATACCATGATCCAAACAAATTCACAAAATTTCATGCCGGATCGGCCGTGGCCCGGATTAACAACGACCGCGCTTCCTGCTGCCGTGTCACAGGGCGGGAGTGATAAGTATGCTACTGAGGCACACAAAACAACGAAGAACGAACAAAAACAGGCCGCGTGTGACCGGCCACAAGCAGTTGTCCCCTGGGCTCTGCGGTCACGCAACCAACTTCCACGGTGTGGGCAGCCGGGAAGTAACAATCGCCCTCACAATCCAAAACGCACACAAAACCTCTCTAATCCTCACTTATCTTTGTCTTCATCTTCATCTCTATTACCTTACCTTCCCCCAGTGATGCAACTCCTCTACTTGATGGCTCCTCACTCCCTCTTCACTCTGTGTCCACTAAAAACGACGAAAGCCAAAAAACCACCACGGATAGTCTCCTAAAGCCACGCCACCAATTTCATATAGGAGCATTTAATGTAAGGACACTTTGCCAAATAGGACAACAAGCATCACTAGCTAAGACCCTGGCATCTCGAGCCATTGATGTATGTTGTGTTTCAGAAACACGCATACAAGACCCAAGTGTGGTTATTCACCTAACCCCACCTGGCCAACAGGATGAATCTTCAAAATTCACCTTGAGGGTGTCAGGAGATGCCACAGCTAGTTCACGGGATTAGCTGGCGTAGGGATAGCTCTGAGTACTAGGGCAGAAAAGACATTGCTTGACTGGATCCCAGTAGATAGCCGAATGTGTGCTGTCCGTCTGAACGGATCAGTAAGAAGGAGAAAGGACTGCACTACTCGCCGATGCCTTTTCGTAATCTCCGCCTACGCCCCCACTGACTGCAGTTCGGATGAAACGAAGGATGAGTTCTACCAAAAGCTGTCTAGTTTGGTGAGAAAGGCTAAACGCTCAGATATAGTCGTTCTAGCTGGTGACTTCAACGCTCAAGTAGGGAAATTGTGTCAATCTGAGAAGGATGTCGGTGGCACCTATGGAGTTCCGTGCCAGCGAACCGACAACGGTGACCGTCTCCTACAGTTCTGTTCAGATAATCATTTGTTTCTTGTAAGCACTAACTTTAAACACAAGGAGAGACACTGTTTAACCTGGCGACCCCCATCATCAAACCAACGCTGGACACAAATAGACCACATAGCAATAAGCTATCGTTGGCGTGGGTCGGTAGGAGATTGTCGCTCCTTCTGGAACACGTGTGTAGATACCGATCACGCACTGGTCCGGGCTCGTGTGTGCTTACGACTGAACGGACGTAGGAAACAGCTGGCGGTAAAACCATTACGCCCCCAGCTCGATCAGGAAACTAAATCCCTATTTGAGGAAGAACTAGCTAAACGCATATCTGAATCCGACAGCTGTGCTCACCCTGGAGAAGCCTGGAAGAATATTCAGTCAGCTATAGATACAGCTGTAAAAGCTGTGAATAAGACAAATCCAAAGGTGAGTAAAAACCACTGGATTTCGACTGCCTCATCCGAACTGATAGATGCTAGAAGACTTATTCCGGCGAGCTCCGAATTCAATGAGGAGCGAAAGCTGCACAAAAGGAAACTTACTAAAAGTCTCCGCAAGGACCGTGAACAGTGGTGGGTGACAAAGGCGAAAGAGATGGAAAAAGCATTGGCGATAGGCAACACTAGGCAACTCTTTAGACTCATCACAGAATCGGGCGGGAAAAGGCAATTCATAAGTGAGACTATTTCTGAGAAAAATGGCTCCTTAATTAGCTCTCAGGATAGACGCCTTGAACGCTGGAAAGAACACTTTGAGGAACAATTTAACTTGCCTACAGCCACACTGAACCTCCCCGCCATCCACCACGTACCCGAATGGGATATAGACACTGGTCCGCCGTCTGTAGGTGAGGTTACAAAAGCTATCAGTAATTTGAAACGAGGCAAAGCGGCAGGACCCGACGGAATTATTCCGGAGGTGTTTAAATATGGGGGTGACATACTAGTTTGTAGATTAACTGAGGTACTAGGCAAAGTCTGGGAATCAGAGACAGTACCATCAGACTGGGGTAAGTCACTTATTATACCGATATTCAAGAAGGGAAACAAGTCCTCGTGTGATAATCATAGGGGGATCAGCCTAACGAACATAGTCTCTAAAATCCTAGGCTCAGTAATCATGCATAGACTAAGCAGAACTCGGGAGGAACAGACAAGGGAAAATCAAGCAGGCTTTAGACCAGGTAGAGGGTGCATAGATCATATCTTCACTCTTCGACAGATTCTAGAACATAGACACACTTTTCGGCGTCCAACAATTGTCATATTTCTTGACTTGAAGGCGGCCTTCGACTCCGTGGACCGAAAAGTACTATGGCAATGTCTGACTGTGAAGGGAGTGCCAAGAAAGTACATTGCACTAATCAAGGCACTCTATTCAAACTCACGTAGTCGTGTAAGGGCTTATGGGGAATTGTCATCTGAATTGGTAACAACCAGTGGTGTCCGACAGGGATGTCCACTTTCCCCATTTCTGTTTAACTTCATCATAGATATGCTAATGGAAGTATCCTTAACTGAACGTAGTGACTTAGGAATCGACTTGTTACCAGGGAATAATCTAATGGACTTAGAATATGCAGATGACATAGTCCTGTTAGGGGAGGATGCTGACAAAATGCAGAGTCTTCTGAACACCTTGAGCAGCAATCTTCGTATGTTTGGCATGCGATTCGCCCCTGCAAAATGTAAGATGCTGCTACAGGACTGGACGACGTCAACCCCTAACTTAGTGATAGGGAGTGAAGTGATAGAACATGTTGACCACTTCACCTACTTGGGAAGTTGTATTAGCACCAACGGACTGATTGGCGATGAAATCTCAGCACGGATCCGAAAAGCTCGAGCTGCTTTCGCTGACTTACACCATCTCTGGCGTAGGCGTGACATCCGGTTATCAACCAAGGGACGTGTGTACTGCTCATCAGTTCGCTCCGTCCTTCTCTATGGCTCTGAAACATGGCCAATACGCGTTGAAGACATGAAAAGGTTGACTGCTTTCGATCATAGATGTCTGCGATCTCTGTCTCACGTTAGGTGGTTTCACAAGGTAAGTAATGTTGACGTTAGGCGTAGAGTGTTGGGCAAAGAGGGAAAATCAATCGACGAGGTTATAAAGTTACATAGACTAAGATGGCTAGGTCACGTGGTGCGCATGCCTAACCACCGCCTCCCCCGACGGGCATTGTTAGCTGATATAGGTTCAGGTTGGAAAAGAGCCAGTGGTGGCCAAACAAAAACATGGCATCAATCCATGAAATCCTTGACAGTTAAACTGAGTCAGGTAGGGAGATGCAGACTCCCGGGTTGGGGCCCTCGGGACTCTAGGAATCAATGGCTGGAGACAATAGGTGACATGGCTCAAAATCGTTGTCAATGGCGCAGATGTATTCAATCTCTGTAATCTTTCATATTCCTTTCTACCATTACCCATTCTGTTTCACTCTTATATTTGTCAAACTCTATTAATTCTCTTCACTCATCTTCTTGTCTACCTCTGTGTGCTATTTGGAACGTGGCAACTCGAACTGCTGCACTTCGGTGCCAAGTTCTATGTTGAATCCAGACAGACAGACAGACAAGGAAATTAAAACACTAATCAGAAAACATTGAGTACAATAGGCTGCAGTCAAACAATGTGTTTCAAACAAAACCTATATGCGTACTATGTATCCCCACCAAGTTTTTCTCTATAAAAGTCTTCTGAAGCTGACGAGATTTTCTGGACAGATGAAGCATTTTACTGCCACATTTATTACCGATAAACCAAAAGTAGGTGCAAACTTATTCTGTAGGAATTTCTTACACTTCATAGAGGTGGATATACGTCAGGCACTTTAGGAATCTAATCTCAATCAGGAATTTAACCACAACTAAGATATTTATTAGGATGATGCAAATATTAGTCATGGATGAAGATTACTAGTTACTATCAAACTGTAGCATCGCATAAATTATAATTATATTTCAATGGTTTACACACAATGATACTTTTTTTTGTTTTGGTTGAATAATAATTAAAATTTATTTGATTTACTCCACAATGCTCAAATTTTGTAGTATCGTATTTGGTTTGACATAAAGGAGGGATTAACTCGACTCTCTAGTCTGATTTCGACAGAAAGCGAAGTGGTGCAGACGGTTCAAGCTTACTCATTAATCCCCTATAGAAAACACTTCAACAGAGTTAGAGGA